CCATCTTCTTCACCGTCGTGAAGTCTCGATATCTCGCCGTGTTCATGGCCAAGGGAGTGTTCAGGGAGAGCGAGTGTCTCCCGCGGACTCCGCTCAACGGCAGTGAGGAAAAGCAATATGGGCTCTCGATATGGCAGTCCTTCATCTCACCGTCCCTCGTTTCTGCCGTGTTCCCCGCAATTGCCGTTCACGACTCCTGAAAAGTTTGGCGTCATTGGCAAAAAGGGTCGCGAGCCGCGTGGGTCCGGCTCAGGCATGCACGTTACGTGGCACAGAATTGATTGTTCTGAGACCGGGATTGCCCCTAGCGGCCTTATTTCTGTCAATGTATGGGGTTAACTTTGAATCGCTTTTCGAGATCAGTCCAAGATGTCTTAGGGCAGCGTGCACGGATGGTGTCGTTGATCCTGCCGAGCACAACATCGCATAGACTATGTTGTGCTTTTAGGGGTATTGATTCTGTCTTGAACACCACAGGTAATTAGGCGTCAGTTTACACACTGGGGCCTCGAGATGGTCAACAATGCACGATACTAACACATCGACCACCGTGCAACTCCTACCAGCGTCTTGAGCCTACCGAATACTCTCATCTCAATGCCGGTTGGGCGGGGCTGGAAAGCTAGGCCAAGACCTCGACACTTTGTCTGTCTTGCTTCTGCCACCGGTGTGATTAGACCCCTTTTTTGCAGCCGCCCAGCCAGCCACCCGCTCCGCTTGTCAAAAGCAAAAAGACCCATGAGGAACCACGGACAAATCTTATCTTGACGCATAGCATTAATGCGGCGACGGCACAGGCGACAGTTGAACCTCCTTTCTAACCCCCAGCCGAGAAGACTTGCGTCGGACGGCTCGCTTAGTGCCACCGAAGTTTAAATGATTCGGTCTGATAGAGGACAGGCGCAGGTCGGTCTGGTCTCACTCGAATAGAATTGCGCAACGTGCCCAGCTCATTGTTGAGGCGACGTCTCAGCCCTGGAGCAGGCAGCGAATGGTGATGATTCTCAAGCGAGCTGTTGGATGAATCGACAACGTCCGACAGTCACGCTCGTGGATATGATC